GGAGAGTCGCTTGGGACTTTGTGGGGAAAAGAGCGGCATAGAACTTACTCGAGTAACCGGGACCGATTTCTTTAGCAATCTTGTATATATCACATATTACATCCAACATCATACTGGTAGTGCAGCCATTCGAGCGTTGCGAAATTGACGGATAGGTTTGCTTCCAAATCATTATTTGGTGACGTATTATGTGGTTAATCAACATTCATTCGAAAAACAGCACCTGCGGGCCCTTCGTCCAGCGCATCCAAAGCTACCATGTCATCTGTGTCGAGAGCAAAATCAAAAACCATAATATTATCTTGAATGCGACCCGGATGTGAACTCTTGGGTAGAGGTATCCAGCCTTTCTGGAGTGAATACCGGATAAGGATCTTTGCTGGAGTCTTGTCATGCTTTGATGCTACCCTTTGTACTTCTAGGTCATTAAGCCGAGTACCTGTTGCAAGCGGGCTGTATGCCTCGATAACAATACCGTTGTCCTGACAGTAGGTCACGACATCTCGTTGCTGGCACCAGGGGTGTAGCTGATAGTACACAGGCACCGTAAAATTAGAATTCCTTCAAGACTGCAGCGGAGAGTCTAGCTCACCTCGATTTGGTTCGCACTTGGAGGCCATTCAGTGGCATACTCCTTCAGTTCTTCGAGATGCCGGACTCGAAAGTTGCTAACACCAATACTTTTGGCTCTTCCCCTGCTCTTAATCATTTCCATCGCTGCCCATAACCTCTGACGGTGATCTCTGGATGGTCCAGGAACGTGCATCAACAGTAAGTCCACGTATCCATCTACTCCAGCGATACGGTCCACAGTTTCGATAACATCTTGATACACGTCACCCTGGCCTGACATCCTTCGCGGACTCCCAACTTTCGTAGTAAGAAAAATTGCTTCACGAGGCACACCAGACTGTTCGATGGCCTCGTAAACGCACACCTCATTGCGATATAACGCAGCTGAGTCAATGTGGCTGTAGCCCGCTGAAAGTGCTGCCAAAACTGCGGTAGTGCATGTTTGGCCGCGAATTTTGTAGGTGCCGAACCCGAGAAGAGGAATACTGGCTGTCGTGTTTCGGAGACTGAGGCAGTCTTGGGCTACTAATGAGGTGGTCGTGGCAGATGTTGCTATGTGATTTAGCTGCGTCATAGTAGGTAAAAGCTGACTATTCGAATAGTGCGGTGTGCAGGAGTCTCGATACAACACTTCACTCACTTTCATTGAGACATGAAAAACATGATGTGACAAATAGGCAGGATTAAGGTAGGTAGTAAGTGATGAGGTGGAAGCCTCCACTTGTTTGTCTCGCTAGCTCTTTCTTTTTAAGCCTTGGAGAAATTTAGTTTCATGAATGGGTTGCGATAGTGGCAGCAGAATAAGGCAAATATTTATTCTCCTTTCCTTACCTTACTATGTATAAAATTCTCTAGTCAAAACCATACCTCAAAAGGCATTAAACAACAGGGCGCCAACAATCACTGCACTATAGATCTTTTCCTGAACCGACCCAAACTACATTGCTTGATCCTCTGAATGTTAATAGTCTGTAAGTTGTCTTTCCTCACCTTGGTGCTATGTAGCCCTTAGGGAGCAATAAAACATTAGACCTTTATATAAGGAGTTAAAATAAAGTTAGCGAAAGATATCTTAAACTTATAGTTAGTTACTTAAAATCTTTTTATTCTTTAGAATTATAGCCCTGTGTTTTCTTTCCTCCTTTAGGTGATATATATTAGGCTTATATTTCGTGTTCTATAAAGAAAAGATAAAGTGTTTAAGCGTGTCTTAAAACTTAAGCACAGTCCTCCCTTCATTCATTCATCATTTTCATGCATGCAAAGTCAAGGATTGCGCATGGCTCTTTTTAGGTGTTGGCATTATGCTGGAACGTTTGCTGATGATTAAATGCCACCTTAATTAGTAAATTAGAATACATACCTACCAACGTAAAACAACTTGAAGGAGATTGGCAAGAAAAAAATACCACAACAAGAAGAATACGGTAAATGGCCCCCGAATCAGTTTATCTCCAAACCTTTTTCTAAACACCAGTATACTCAACTTAAGGTACTGTTCATAGTTTATAGGGTAGACCGATGCCCATCTTGCTAATCGTACGTTCGTCAAAAGAGGGGCATGCAGCTGTCCAGTGGGGCTGGCATAATTCTAGAAACCCCCACGAAGCGCTAGAGAGCCGTAGAAACTCTACGTTTAGCGGGAGCTCGCTGGAATATGTCGTCACTGCCTGTCCACCTACTGGGTCCTGCCTGCCACCTGGAGCTCTTCCCGTGCGTGGGCAGCGTCCAGAGGTGAGGTGAGAAGGTGGGCGGGAACTGCTAATCACCAAACAAATTCCATTCCTTCCATTCCCTCCAACCACTTCGACTTCATCACCCAAACTTTCCCCTCCAAACATAATCATCCATACGTGCTTCCTGTCTTGATAGACGTGACTGATACACGCTTTACAGAGTCAACGGGTGACCTCTCTGTCGACCATGAGCACTCTCAGGCCGTTGCGTGGCGGCTGCCAATGCGGCCGCAACCGTTACATAATTGCTGTTCCCCAGAATGGCATCAATGAGGCACAGGTTCTCTTCAACACCGAGTCTGCACATCGTAAGTTGATGATGCCCTTCAGAGACACACCCGCGAGTATCGAGGATATGATCTGACATCCGCCTACAGAGATACCTCTTGCAACTCCACTGGCCGCCTACATCCGAGTTCCGCTTTCATGGTATCACAGTACCACCTACTCTTTCTTCCCTGACGAGACACACGCCTTGATTCGACGAGTTTATACACACCCTAGCCAACAATACTCAAAACGTCACTTCTGCGGCTACTGTGGCACACCACTGTCCTACTGGTCCGAAAACCCGCATACCGAGGCCGAATTTATCAACCTGACGCTCGGAAGCCTGCTGAGGGAGGACTTGCGAGATCTGGAAGACATGGGACTGATTCCAGAAGAGGAAGATGGCAAAGCCTCGGCAGGCCAGTCACCAGCAGTGGTTGGTAGGAACACTGCATTGCGCCAGTCGTATGGAGTTCCGTGGTTTGATGGCATGGTCGAAGGAACGCGCCTAGGTAACATGCGCCGAAGTCAAGGTGTCAAACAATCTCATGATGGCCAAGTTAAGGTCGAGTGGGAGATTGTCGAATATTCCAATGGCGACGAGTTGACGGTCCCGACGGAAGAAGATAACGATGTGGAGATGTCGAACCCCGGAAAGCGAAAGCTGCAGGACAGGGACGATTTGGAGGCAGGTGCTGTTGGGAACTAGGAAGTATTGCTGACTGAATTGGGCTCAGTTGTGCCTTGTGTAATATCGAGAAAGCTGGCGACTGATGGGATAATGATGAGCGGCCCCTGCTAAAATTCCGACGACGAGAGGCGTTGACAAATGCATATTCGCAGCGATTTCAACAACCACATGGCACTTGGATGACATGTTGGCTCAATCTCGGTCGTCACATTATGTAGTTTGTGAAAAGATTGTACTACCATGCTGTCTAAAACTGCGTTATCATGTGAAATAATATCTGAGCCATTATCCTTGTATGCTGATGAATTAGGAGAAGCCGCCAGTTTAAGGAAACCAAACCATAAGCAGATATGCATGGATATACGTATGGTGATAGCGAAAAGACGAAATCTGTCATTGAGCCGCATGGGGAGTCCGGATATCTGAACCGTTCTGTTAGTGCCTTTGACTGGTGTTTCGGGCCTAGCAGCCATGGCAGCCCGGGAAATTCGGGGCAATGCAGTCCGGACCGTTTGATAGAGCGGGAACAGGAACCGGGAGAGAGCGACAGGGCGGGCACATGCAAACTAGAGAAGCAATGAGGATCACAGTTACAGCACATCATCCGAAACACAATGCAGCCTAAAAAAGGTAAACAATGGGTGGGAGGACCCTTGGATCTCGAGGCCGAGACACCACGTGCAGAGCATAAGATCTCGGGAATCAACCAATTCCTCCTGCATTTGATTCATCCGGTGAGGCGAAATTTGTCGCGGTCATTACAGAGCGTGCCGAAGTTCTGGCGATGGCGGGCTGTCGTGGCGCCGGAGAGGCGGGCCGAAGGCTCGAGTAGGCACATATGAGCGGGAATCGTCTGACGAAAACGGAGGTTCAGGTTGGACAAAAAGAGCTAAGTGTCCAAGCGATCTGTTATTTTACCAGATCTTTTGTCGAGAATTGAGCAATTGTAAGTTTCCGGAAAATCATAATGAGACGAAGAAAAAGGAGAACAAGAGGAGGAAAAGAAAAAGAGGAGAAAAGGAGGAAACATGGAAGTAGTAAGAGAATCCGGAAGGGTCCTGAAACCAATCCCCCATGGGGGCAATCACATTGCCTGGGGTTGCCTTTTGCCCTTTATTTAAGCGGGAGTGGAGGAGGGTGCCAGGGCGGTTGAGTTGAGGGAGACACATCCATCAGCGAGCTGCAGGCGCAGGCAGGCATGGATGGCCCTGAGTAGTTAATGGATCCCTGGCAGTTGCTGTGCGTGATAAACCCACCAATTCGACTGAGGAAGGTACCCTACCTTGGCGTTCGTGTCTTTTCGTGTCGTCAAAGAACAGCCTTTGTCAACCCCACCCCAGCTTTTGTGGCAGATGATCCAGCCGCGGATATGACGGTCCGAAGTACAAACACGGCCATTGAGAGGCATATCCCTTCTACCTACCCAAGGTATTCATCAGTTTCACCGTGCATTGTAGCTGACAAGAGAGGTGAGAGTCTAAGCTATGAGTGGAACGAAAAGCGACAACCCATGTTCTAGGTTGGGGTATATAAGAGCGTCCTGTGATGCCATGGGAAACATGATATTCCCCTTCCTCTCTTCCAATCCAACATCCTCCACCTCTACTCACTTGTAACCTGTGGCCTTCAACTCTTGTTTCTTTCGTTTCAGCTGGCCTGATAACTAGCTCTCTCGAACCACGACTCAGATCAGTCCACACTTGAAGGGCTGGTAGCCAGCCTGATTCACAATGTCTCTCCCCAAGGACTTCCAATGGGGCTTCGCCACCGCCTCGTAAGTAATTCAACTCCCAGAACCGCCGAGTGACGGTAATTGACCCTCAAGATAGGTATCAGATTGAAGGTGCTATCGATAAGGATGGCCGTGGCCCTGCGAACTGGGATACCTTCTGCGCTAAGCCTGGCAAGATCGCAGACGGCAGTTCCGGTGTGACCGCCTGTGATTCTTACAACCGTACTGCTGAGGATATTGCTCTTCTGAAATCAGTAGGCGCTAAGGCTTACCGATTCTCCCTCTGCTGGTCTCGGATCATTCCTCTCGGTGGTCGAAATGATCCTATCAACCAGGCCGGAATTGACCATTATCGCAAGTTTGTCGATGATCTCCTCGAAGCTGGAATTACCCCTTTCATTACTCTTTTCCATTGGGATGTACCCGATGAGTTGGACCGCCGCTACGGCGGTCTCCTGAACCGAGAGGAGTTCCCTCTTGACTATGAGCGATATGCTCGTGTTGTTTTCGAGTCTATCCCTCGCTGCAAGAACTGGATCACTCACAATGAGCCCTGGTGCTCAGCCATTCTGGGTTACAGCACAGGATCTAACGCACCCGGTCGCTGTTCTGACCGCAAGAAATCCGATGTTGGCGACTCTTCTACCGAGCCTTGGATCGTTGGTCACAACCTTCTTGTTGCCCACGGCCGTGCTGTAAAGATTTATCGTGAGGAATTCAAGCCCAAGAACGGTGGTGAGATTGGTATCACCCTCAATGGCGACGCCACATATCCGTGGGACCCCAAGGACCCGAGAGACGTCGAGGCTGCCGAACGTAAGATCGAGTTTGCTATCTCGTGGTTCGCCGACCCTATCTACTTCGGAGATTACCCAGCCTCAATGCGCGCCCAGCTCGGTGACCGCCTTCCCACCTTTACCCCCGAGGAAAAGGCTCTTGTTTTGGGATCCAATGACTTCTACGGCATGAACCACTACACTGCCAACTATGTCAAGCATCGGGAGGGAGAGGCTGCTCCTGAAGACTATGTTGGTAATCTTGACCTGCATTTCTGGAACCACCGCGGTGATTGTATTGGCGAGGAGACCCAGTCTACTTGGTTGCGACCATGCGCCCTGGGCTTCCGTGATCTACTAGTCTGGATTTCCAAGCGTTATGGCTTCCCCAGAATCTATGTTACCGAGAACGGCACTAGCATCAAGGGTGAGAATGACATGCCGCGAGAGAAGATCCTGCAAGATGATTTCCGCGTCAAGTACTATGACGATTACGTGAGAGCCATGGCCGATGCTTCTAGGCTCGATGGCGTGGATGTCCATGGCTACTTTGCCTGGTCTTTGCTGGACAACTTTGAGTGGGCTGAGGGTTACGAGACTCGATTCGGCGTAACTTATGTCGACTACGAGAATGACCAAAAGCGTTACCCCAAGAAGAGCGCTCAACATCTGAAGCCCCTATTTGATAGTCTCATCAAGCAGGAGGAGCATGTCGTAAATGGGAATGGTGTCAAGGCCGGACAGACCTGAGAATGATCGAATCGAAGATGATCATGATTATTATTACGGTCTCCTGAATATGATACTCCGATAAATTTATTGCTATTAAATTTGAAAATAGAAGATGAATAAAAACGTGTGACTTGTTCCCTTCACGTGTAGAATATTTTTCATCAGAGTTGGTTTACTACTCTCTTTACGCATTGTGGTATTCTTATTAGAGTTAACTCGGCATATGCGGGTTAAAAGTAACCTTGATATATAAGGTTATTTAGACCTGAATCTTGACAAGGGGTCGTACTATATAGTATCTTGATCTGTATTCTGGGACAGGTAGACGACAGCCAATATCGACGTCTATCAAGTGGTGTGGAAAATACTGAAATCTATTTTCTGTAGCTTTGGCCAACGTTGCACCCAATCAGCACATTTGGAATTCCTTTTACTGACATTGATGCATTTTCTGTTCCACACCCTCATCAATGATCTGCCTCGATAGTTCATCAGGTTGCATTTGAACTTCCATAGAACATTGCTCTTGGGAAGTACCCTGTTCTACTTCCTCGGTGCCACGTTCCTTTTTTCCTCTCCGCATGTAGTAGCGAAAGACGTATACTAGCCCCTGAGCCATGAACACTTGTTCGATGGTGTACAGCAGTATAGGTATTTGTATATAGGCTCTTGTTAGATCATCCGCACGCGCCCACATTGAACTTGCTAGCGGTATACCCAAGCTCGTTGTTTTGGCCGCCCCGCAAAAGCATACGGCGATTGTCTGCTCTTTAGACATGCGCTTGAAGACATGCCTTAGCCAGGATGAAGACACTGTTCTGACAACGCGCCCGGGTGGTCTGGCGAAAAAGAAGCAGATAATTGTGAACAGAGCATATAACGCAACGTTCATAAAGACAAGAAAGAGGACGTTGCTTGTAGATAAGTCTTTCAACGCTCCGGTGCCGAAAGCTCCAGAAAAGGTCGTCCATACGAGCAGAACAAGGCACAGTGTTGAGACCTTGGCCAGTTTGAGAGCATTGAGAACTTTGACGGTACGATCCTCCCACCTCCAACGTACAGCTTGACCAACAATAAGAGGCAAGACTACACTGAGACATAGCTGCTTGGCTACATCTGCATACATATGCCCTAGGGTGGACGGATCTGCAGGGCGCCAGCTGTTGAAAGCTTCAGGATGCCCAGTTGGAAAGAATCCGTATATGAGCAGAGGAGATAGAAACGATCCAGCAACGTTGCCGATAACAACAGAGATAATGGCAGCGGCTTCGTCTCCGCCCGAAGCCCGTGTCATTACGACATTAGAGGCAATAGTGGTTGGAAGACAGGCAGTGGTAAGAAGGCCGATGAGGATCGGAGGCGAAGGTGTTTGAGACCTGAGAGCCCCGGCTGCGATAGAGATATGAACAATGGCTAGAGATATGAGCTCGGGTTATAATCTTTGACGGCAGAGACACAACTCACCAAGGACAATGGCCGGGATAACGGCAAAGCTAATCCCATGGACCAGAATATGTAATCTCCAATTTGTCACATTCTCCCGGAGCTTCCCTGGTGATAGTTGCAGACCACTAACGAGAAAAATGAATGCGACCGCCCCGTATAGGATGCTATACTCTGAACGAATGACGCCTCCATGCTGAGCAACAGCTGTGAACAGGGTGTTAGCACTTGTCTTGGCGGCGAGAGAGAACCATAACTTGCATGGGAAAAAATATCCAAAAACACAAGCAGTGGCGAAGCCAATGACCAGATATTGTGCCAGTATGAGATTGAGCACTTTCTTTAACCTGCCAGTTGCTCCTCTTGGAGGCTTCTGCCTTTCCTCAATCGACATTCTCCAGTCTTGATGGCTTTTCCGCCATTTTTCGTCCCTAGGAAGAAAGATCAAGTGCCAGAGTACGTGCGGTGCCGATTGTCGGCTATATACCAAATGCTGCTTCTTGTAACGACATGGGCAGTAATCGCATCATTCGTCAAAGTGTTATGGGTTGGGTCCTGGTACATAGCTTGGCAGATTCAAAGACCGCCCGCGTTATTACCGACATCACGAAATGGTCAAGAGGGCGGACTTTGAATTGTCCTCGGAAGGCGGGCAAAAACGGATATCCGAGGTTGTTACTACACCATCCACCGATAAAACATGTAGGAAGCAATTGGGGGTTACGTTAGTAGCATTTAGACAGATACTGTATCTGTATGATATCAAAGTACATGATGATACAATTACGCATAATAAAACAATTGCCTCCCAGGCAGACAACACTCTCATTCTCATCTCTCGAGCGAGTCATGCCAAGCGAGAGGTAGGTCCTGGATCTGATCCTGGTTTGTCTGGACAATACCGCCTCAACTTTTCTACCTATCATCTCTCCAAGATGAGATGGAAACACTCAAACCAATTCTTAAGAAATGGGTAGCTGGCTTCTCATGTAAGACACACAATTCCGAAAAAAACGCCGCGCGATGTGTAGTGGTATCAAGATGGATAAAAGGGAATAACTTCTCGCAAGTCTGAGGGTATAGACTGCTTGCTGCAACTCGTTAAGAGACGTCCTGTTCATAAAAGGAGCTGTCTCGTTCGTCGTCAAGGAATTAAAGAAAGTAAGTTCAAAAGGGAATTGACCAAGAGTCGGTCTGTCAGTCGGTCGAAGAAAGGCGTCACAAAGCGACAGTTGATCTGTTTAAACAACAGCAGATGGAGGCTCCAAAGGCAGGGCGGTTCTGGAATCATTGGGGTTCGTGGTACTGGGAGCTGGTGCAATCTCTGGATCAGGAATCTGGATATCGAGCTATTGATATGTTAGTAACTTCCCTAGTACGATGAGAAAAAAGTAGCTTTACATACAGTCATGTAGCCCGTTTGCCGCAGCGGCAAGATCTTGGGTGGAATAGTACCATCTTCAGTGCCAATGGTTTTTTCCATCTCAAGATTCCATTGTTCAATCCACTTTTCGAGACTGTTCAATCGAGACTTGATTCCAGTGAGACCAATATCATCCCAGATCCAACCAGTGACGAGTCCAAGGAGGGTATCAATTATGTTCCGCAAGCCGTAAGGGTCGAAAGCAGGAATCAATTCGCCGTTAAGCTTCTCGATAATTCGACGGAATTCTTGCTCGGATAGACCAGCAGGGTCCAGAATCTCTGGGTATAGGTTGGAAAACGTCGGTGCTAAATCGCCCTTGATCAACCAGTCGCGTCGTATTCGAATGATGCGCGTGTTGACGTATTCAGGTGAGTCAACGGGAACATGAGGGTTGAGGTGAGGATAGCAAGGGTGCTGAGGACCCCATTCGCCGGCTGCATCGGGCTCGACATCTTCGCCCATAATAGAAGAATTTGTCGTCGACAGAGCGGATCCTATTCCATCGCCAGCCGAGACGTTAGAGATCCGCGGGTCCATGATGTCAGGACCACGCTCCAGATCCTTGCCATAAGACGGCATAGAATTGTCGGTCTCTGGCATCATCACAGCCTTCCCTTTGCCCTTGTCAATCTTGACAATTGGATCTTCCACCACGGTCTCCTGAGCAAACAGGTCCCTGCTCAGGCGAGGTTCTTCGGCTGACACTGCACCCCTGCGAGACCCTTTCTCGTCGTAAGAAGCGCGCACAGAATTCGGTAGGCTTATGCGCCTATCACTGCTGCCGGCCCTATCAACTTGAAGGCTTGCACGAGGCGTCAAAGAATGCCTTATCTGATGCTGTTCGGAAAGCGTAAGGAGAGGATAATCACTAGGTCCAGAACCTATGGGATCGGTCGGTGCTCGGGTGTCGAATGTCGGGTGCTTGAGGGGAATGGCTGGTGGTGGAGGGGTCGAGGGACGACGTTTACGCGAGGATTCGGGCTTGGTATGAGGCCTAGGCGTCGAATTTGTAGGATTCCAGAGACGGACAGCTGATAACCGACGAGGACGATTAGCAGCTCCAGCAGCCTTTTGGGGTCGAAATGGCGAAGGATGCAAGGTTGTTGCTTGGTAACCGTCAAAGGGTCGAGCTGGCTGGCGCTGGATATTCGAGGCGGCAGCAGCAACAACAGCGGCTTGTCCAGAAGATGAGCCGGTTCCGGGATAGGCGGGCCTTGGGGGTTCGAGGCTCAGTATTAGAGGGTTGCCGTGGGCATCTACGGCGGCCGGTATGGGGTTGAGGGGAGAAGGTCGGGCGAGATGGGGATCCGTTGGAAACAGGTTGTCGGCACGGCCGCCAGGACGACCGCGCTCGCTAGAAATGGCGAGGTCCTTCTCACGCTGACGTGAGTGAGATTGAGATTGAGACCGAAACAGTCGTCGACTTGTTGGCTACGTTCTGGGTAATGAGGCTGGGCGCTAATTGCCTGTGCACGGAGCCGGTGTTGGAGGAAGATAAACGCAGAGAAAGAGAACGAAGGAATGCGACAACTGCGCGTCGCAGCTGTTGCTAGACTCAAATCGGGAGCGCTAGGAGAAAAAGGAGGATTGAAGGCAGTGGCGTCTGTGAAATTGTCGTCGTGTACGGTATCGGCCTCGATCTCGTAGTGATGGATTGTCGAGCGGCAGCGGGCAAGAGAATTGCTCGAGTCGCTGACTGGAGGCAAAGGGGAGAGTGAGCAGGAAAAGAAGCAATAAAGGAACCAAACGTCGACCAGGGGAAATTCGCTGACGGTGGGCCAATGACGGCTGCGGAAGGGGGCTGGGAAGAGGGTGACAGGGGGTTTAGTTGACGATGGGCTGCTGGATGCCCTGGAAGCCACCATCCTCAGTGCTGAACTGCAGCTTAAGTGGAGGAGATCCCCTGTAGGGCTACCTCAGACGAAAGTGACTTTGAGACCTCTCAGCTCGCCTTGCTCGACATGTGGATGTGTTCAGTTGTGAAGGATTTGAATCTCATAAAATCTTGCAGAAGACTTTGTTAGAGACGGATGGGTTATCAGTAGGGCTGCCGGAGTTTGCGACTAGTTGTCGTAACACTATTGGACGGTTGACCCTCGAAGTAGACGGCTGCTCGTCGTACTTGAGCAAACCAGGAGAGGCCTAATGAAGGGGTGAAAAGAAGGCTTTGCAAGCCCCTTTGACCTTTATAAGGTTGATCGTGTTTCCTTTTTCTTTTTCTTCTCCTCCCTGGCCGGTATCACCGGACGGTCCAAGGGTTGGAATTCTTGGTCAACAGGCGGAGATTTGCGCTCGCTTGAAGCCTTAGATGAATTAGCCTCATATAACGGACGGTAGTTGTGCTGTTAGCTTACAACCCGGCTGCTTTAAGTTCCCGAGTGGTTCTGATGATATCGATAGATGAGGCTCTTTTACCTATTCTGCAACGGTGTCTTCCAAGTTCAGGCAACGGGCGGACGAGCGAGACACGGGGGAATACAGCTACTTTATTGCAAGCGAGTCTCATCACTCAAAACCAGATCTACTGTAAAAAGTACATCGAGACATCTGGCCATGCAAAAAATAGGAGCCTAAACCTCTCCAGTTTCCTTTCCCCTTCCTATCTGGGCTATCTCTGACATCCAGTAAGTCGTTTAAGCATGCAGGGTGTGTGCTAATTAGTATCTGGCGCTCTGTTCTCGTCATCAAATCTTCAACTTGAATCTTGAAAACCTGGAACCAGGGGCTCCCGAGCTTCTGGGCTCCAGCAAACTAGTCTCCATCCCCTGAAAAGGTCTTTTTTTCTTTGACAGGCGACGGCTTCATTACAGGGGGTTTATGCAGTCCCTTGGGTGACGCCATGCTGGTTGTCAATGTGTGCGGGCGTTGGGAATCCTTGTCCAGAGAATTGATGGTTGGCCTTGAGCTGAGTTCCGAGGCATCTTCTTACATACATAGTTCATGGCTGCAGAATATCCATGCAATGTACAGAGTAGTGATGGCCTCAACTGCGAGGCCGTTTTCCGCTTTCCTCATCGTCCTATACTTGCATACACATAATCTTAAGAGCATTTGTAGATCTTGGGAGCAATTATTGTAGTTACTTTACTCAAAGAACATGACACATGCCATATTTCTTGTAGTTGTTAGAGTCATTCCACCTGAGATAGCCCCTGTCTCAAGTTGGGACGAACGTCTCGAATTTAGTTGCCCTTGCAAATTTTCGAGATCGTTACGACGGAAGAGAGATTTGCTACCCTAGTCAGCCTCGCTTGCATGATCTAATGTAAGTACTCCGTAGTAGGTTGTTATTATCAAGACGTGCTGCACGTCTAATCTTGTGATGGAGTTGATCTTCTGCACCCCTGAACCTCTGGAACTACCCGACATCATTGACATCAGCTGAACGTTGACGTCACATTGCTGTAAAGACGAACGGCCCTCGACTCTATCGTCTGCTGGTTCTAAACAGAACTCCTGAACGGACACACCGACTTCCGGGCCTGAATGGACTCTTGCATAAAGCACTCAAATTGATACGGAACTATTCCGTATTATCCCAGCAATAGAGATGCTGAACGGTCCGGAGCATTTTTTTGCTATCAACAGCTGGGCACCTAGGGCACCTACATGAATCCCACCCAGCATGAGGTGCGTTAGTTATCCTTACAGCTTGACATCAGACAGGGCACAAGATCCGCCCTTCACTCATAGCCATCCAAAGGCCTTATAATTGATAAGGGGTTCTCGCAATCCTTCCAAATGCATGCACCCGATAAAAAAAGATCTTCCCTTATGCAGAGCAGGCGGCTCATAACATACCAAATATGACACCTTCAAGCACATTTCAATTCGATCTCCCGCTTCCCGTGCATGCTGATCGACACGGCCCAAGACCTAGCTCAAGACATATCTAGATGACTGTCAAATCACAACAAAGCCATGCCACCCACTAGCCCAGCCATTCTTCCACATCAACTTGACATATGTATTATAAGTTAGCTACAACTGGCCAGTTTTCCCAGCTGAACGAAGGGAACCTGGTCAAGGAAAACCTCGACTTGTTCCATGTACTGAATTCGATGGCCAGCCCAGCTTCAGCTTTGGGACCAGCAACAAACAGTACCAGCGCTAAATTACCTAGGTCCAGTTATAAAGTGCTGGAGAAAGCACAGAAAACAGCCAAGAGCTTCCTTCTCGTCGGTCTCACTCTCCAATGCCGTAGGTCACTTTACCTTCTTAGTAAGTGACGTCTTTAAAGACAACTCACATCGTCACACTCTCTGGATGAACTCATCGCCACCACATTCCGATTGCTCCAAGTGTTGCACAACGCACGTTTTCATCACCTACCTCCCTTTTCGTTCCCTCAACCGCTGCCCTTGTCTTTCCTCGTCTTTCTTGGCCCCCTCACTCTCCGTGTCTTAAGGGAGCTTTGTCGCGTGACTTGGCCCAATGCGCTGTCTTCTCTTTAGGTACCTAACTTTGGACATAAGGTAGTTTAAGCTCGGCCCTTCTTCAACACTGAGCGCCGCGCTGCACAAACGGTTATAGCGGTTTCAGCAATCGAGCTTCGGCCATGACGGACGACAATACAGCGTCGTCCGCCGCCGGGAGACCCGCTACCGGGACAAGCTTCAGCTCCAGCTCCAGCTTCAGTGCCCCGCCTCCCGGCCATGGACTCCGCCGTGCCGTGACCGTCTCGGTCGCTGAGGATGCTGCTTCTCGGCGTCAACATATGTCACCGCCTGGTCTCGACACGATACCGCCACGCCGCAGCTCAAACTTTTCAGACTATAGTCTCAGCGAAGCTCGAGATCTTCTTAATCCCCAGCTTCGAGATACTAGCAGCACTGAGCATTCTTCTCCTGGAGAGACATCTTCCCTAGCATCATTGTCATTGGCTTTTGCTCTTCTTCCAGCTATATCTGGTGTTCTATTCAAAAACGGGAACGCTGTGGTAACGGATGTCATGTTGTTAGGCTTGGCTGGCATTTTCCTTCACTGGTCTGTAACACAGCCATGGTAAGCTCCTATCATTTGCTTTCCCCTACCGCAACTTTCGAGCATCTGTACTTATTCTGGACAGGGCATGGTATCACTCAGCACAGGAGGTACGGATACAGCACGAGTCAATAACCGATAGTGTTATCGACGATGATAGCGACCTCGACTCGAGCAACCACATGCCAACGCCTCACTCGCCGCTTGATCATGTACCGGAATACCAAGAAATCCAGGCTGAACCGACTGAGGAATTGCAGGATACAAAACCATCAGGCCAGCAACAGGAAGCTCTTGCGGAACTTTACTATTACGAAATAATCGCCCTAGCCTCGTGTTTCATTCTCCCACTCCTCGGCGCATACCTCTTGCACACCATCCGATCACAGCTCAGTCGCCCCTCTGAAGGTCTTGTTTCCAATTATAATTTGACAATCTTCCTTCTCGTAGCCGAGCTTCGGGTTCTATCCCACATGATAAAGCTGGTTCAGTCGAGGACGCTTCACCTACAACGGGTAGTTCAAGGAGGACCATCTAGATTCCAGAAAGGTAGTGAGAATTCGGGACAATTGGAATCCGTACTTGCGCGTCTGGAAAGACTCGAGTCACGTTTCGCAGCAGAAGAAAACATGTCTGTCCAAGAAACAAAGCAGGAAATTAGCAAAGCAAAGCAGAAAGACAGCGTTGTGGCACGCGACGTGCGTAACGCAATTCAACCGGAGTTGGACGCGCTCAATAGGGCTGTTCGTCGTTATGAGAAGAAGGCGACACTTCTCCAATTTCAGACAGAGTCGCGCTTCTCAGGGGTCGATGCGAGACTGGATGATGCTATCGCCCTTGCTGCGAGTGCTGCGAAGAATAGTGCATCACGTAAGAACATGTTTGTGTGGACGGTGGAATCACTCACCGCCGTGATCCTCCTCCCGTTCAAAACGCTGTTAAGAATCATGCTTTTACCTCTGAGCACACTGTTAGCGCTCACGAATAAGAGCAAAGAGAAGAGTCCTCCTTCATCAAAGATGCCGCGCAGCAGTAGGAACGGGAAGGCGTCTGTGCAACCGAGATATAACGGGGATAGAGTTCCATCCAGAGTTACCAAGCGATAATGGAGCGTTGCTAGGGCGCATTGTGTAATAGGCCTAAAATGATATTCTTTATGTCAACTCTCGAGAATGATTCCCAGCAAGTAGCTTCATCGGCGGTGAACACCTTTCGAGACACATACTGAACATGACCTCGTATTGAATGTTTACAGTTACACTTGCTAATCTTTTATTTATTTATATATCTAGAAGCTGTTTTTGAATGGCTTTGACTTACAAGGTTTCCTAAATAGCAACCACATACTGCATGCATACTTGTGACCGAACCGTTGGCAGGGGGACTTAAACTTCTTGGTTGGGGCGAGTGGATGTGAGGTAGATGTACACAGCGCAACAATGAGCTCACAAAATGGGTCTTGTAAACAAAGAAACGGCAGCTCACGACTGAGGAAGCCAAGCTGAGGTCATCAGCACACGACGGTCGATGCCCATCCAGCATGGCGGGTGATTCAGCAACCAACGATACACCAGCTCGTGTAAGTTGGTCCTTGTCACAGGATGAATCTAATGAGCGCCACTCTCGCCAAAATCGATGCGAGCCAGGAAGATATGCCCGTGATTTAGGATAAGCTAGTTTCGAGTTGGTGATATAGAAATGTTGGTTGTCCAACTTGTACACATTTTCCCTGCATGAACTCAACTCGGTCTACATACAGCTCGAGGCAATGAGCTTATGATGGAGCGTGGTTTCGACTGGTGGAGGTGGTCGGAGCTAGGAAATGAGTTTTCCGCGTCACACATCCGGATGCCACGATGATAACTTGTGCATATGCTGTCAT